GATTCCCATTGGGCGAGAGGACGAAGGGGCAGGACTTGTAGGGTCCTTAGGAGACCGTGGAGGTAGGATCTTCTGGATAAGATCGAGTCTCTCCGTAACCTCAATGGTGTCTAAGACCACTTCACAAGCGACGACCGGCGCATCCGACTCGGCGGAAAAGCTGCCCAATGCGAGAGGTGCGGGAGGCCAATTGGTCGCAATGGCGTCTAAACTCCATCGCCCAGTGCGCAAGAGCCTATGAGGTTCCTCCCCTTCGGAGCCCGGCCCAAGCCTGTGCGCCGTAGCTGAATCCAGGCCGCCCGAGAAAGAGAATACCGCAGGGTCGAATTTGGGGTGCCTCTTTATTTTCTTCGCAGGAGCACCAAGCCATTTGCGATGGAGAGAATTTGCTTGAGGGTCGCTGACACCGATTTGAGCAAAAAGGCCGTGCAATGACATGGCCATCGCCGTCTCATCCCCCAACGCCGAACCCCGAGCGGTGTATGACACCTTGATAGCCGGTAGTGTAACGCTTGCGGCCCTCAAAGCATTAAAGAACACCTGTCCAGTGCGATACGTTGGGTAGGTTACAACATGGGATTAAAATCAAGTCTTACCTCGTGCTTGTTCCCATTAGATTCCTTCGCGTCATTATGCTGTGGTATTAGCTGCTAAGTGAAAAATATTTGTAAGCGCATAGCTATGATACAATCAAAGTGGATTAGCCTTACAGGTGAAGTTAACGATGAGGAGTCAGGAGTGGCCGAAGGCATCTTGAATTTCAAAGGGGGGCGCGAGGACGTGCTGGCCAGTGCCGGTGTAGAGCCTTTCTTCTGGGCTGCGAGGATTTCTTGGAGCGCATTAAGCGTGATCTCGACGGAGGGGATGTTGGACGTGATGTCGAGAGCGTGGGGGTCGAGCGCCATGTGCTTCGGGGTGAACTGTACAGACGTATGGAAGCGCGTGGGCAGAGGCAGAAGAACGGCAGCATTCTCCGCGTTCCCATTACCCGTGGATCCATTCGTGCTCAGAGTAGGGATATTAGAGGTCGAAGGACTCCGCGAACGCATAAATCCACTCGTTGGGCGGCTGATTGACAACGCCGATGGTACGTGAGGGTAAACACCCGCTGTGTCGAACTTGAGAGTAAGAGAAGCCGAGGCCGAAGTCTTTCCCCATGCCCGATCCCACACACGACCCACGCCGCCCTTGAATCTATCTCCCCAGGAAGCCACCTTGCCCACCTGCTTGCTCCGAAGCCTCTCGGTCCCGACATCACTTCTCAATCCATCACTAAGAACTTTGAACTGGGTGAAGTTCACCGCCGCAGCTAGTGTGATCCCTTCGATGACCACGCATCCGGCCTCTTTATCCGACGAAGAGATGATAATGGTGTCGATTTCAAAGTCGAAGGCTTGAGAAAGCCACGGGAGTGCGCTGATGACGAGACGGAATGAGGATACGAAGAACAGCCGGAAGACAGGCCGAATCGCTTGATCAAGCCGCCGAAGGAGAGACACAGGGACAATTAAGGAGAATAATGCCAATGGTGGAGCAAGGTTGTCGCTCGAGAAAGTATAAATGCTGAAATGGCGAGATTTTCGCTGGTTCTTCACAAGGGCGGCCTGCCGCGGAGAGCGCTTGGCTCGTTGAGAGGGGTCGACGGTGATTCTGGCATCCTCGAATTTGAAGTGAAATCGGCGAGCTCCTTCCACCACTGGGCGATTCCAGGTGTACCCAATGCGTTCCACCGTAACAGTTGTGTCCGCTTTGCGGATACGGAGCCCTCGCATAGAGAGAGGGCTGACCGAGCTGAACTGGATGCTGGTGTTGAATAGCTGCAGACCATAGGGCAGGATATATCGAAAGAAAATGAGTAGGGAGGCGACGAGAATGAACATGGTGTTGAATATCTCGCTGCCGCGGGAGCTGGTGTGCAGTTCAGGCGCCATTTAAGCGAGCGTGGAAGGGGAAGGAGAAGTGGCAGACTCGCGGTGGGGAGCCGGGGGTTATGTACTTGGTGCGCCGCAGAGTCAGCGCTTCAGGCTTCAGCGTCAAACCGGCCAAAGTCAGATCAAAAGGCAGACGACCTGACACCAGTCTGAGAGGCTGTAGCTGTGGTAGCGCCCACGGTCGACCGTCGCGCTGGAATTTCGTTTGCGACCAAATTGCACCCGCTACCTCAAGTCGGCTTCCGAGACATGACGTAAGGACTTTCTGTCTTCCCCGGTCTACGCTCGTAGCCACGCTCGTCCACGCGATTCTGTCAGTACTACTGTCGTGATCGGTGAAACATGCTTTATACAGGGACAAAAACTAGAACTTCTCCACAACAAAAAGGACATAAAAGTGGTGTGTACAAGAAAATGGGACTGGCACGCGGATACAATTGGAGAAGAGAAACCCGCCACTTTACTCGGTCTTCTGTGGGAGGTCCTTGGGTAGAGGCTTTGGTGCTCTGTAGGTACCGCACAGGCGATCCCAGATGTTGAAGAACGGTTGGCTGTAGTTGTATTTCATGCCAGCGACCTAGGATTCTACGAGTGAGTGTATTGTTCGAGTTGCCTGCAGGTAAGAGAGTCGAGACAAACCTGATGATGCAAATCGTGGAACAGAGCCTTGTCTCCGAAAAACAGCTGGAACGGATCATATGTAAAACTATAGCCTATGTGAAACGTTCTAGTGAGCTGACGTGAAAAAGTGGATAAGCATTTTAGGAGCATACCGCAGTGGTCGTCGACGGCCTTGCACGTGCTGAATACAAAAAGTGCGGTTCCTTGGCGCGTCGTCATGCGGGGAACCTCGAAAGCGAGCGCCGCGCCAAATATTTCAAGGACCAATGCTTCGAAAGGATGGGCATACAGTGCGCCGTAAGCGTACGGGACCCGTAGGCGATGATGCACTTGGTGGAAATGCTCAAACAGAAAGTGGTTCACGTGGAACAAACGATGGATCCAGTATTGCCATGTATCCATTACAACACTATACGGAAAAGTAGCAAATTAATTTTTACCATGGATAATATAGCTAAGCAGTGGTACTCACATGCCCAACAGGTATTGAGCTACTGGGATGACATACCAGTAGGTATGGTATACCATGGCCTTTCCATAGGCGGATAGTAGTGACGTCCCAACAGATCGACCAAGGATGAGGAAAACGGCCTTCATCACATACGGTGCGACAAGACCCATTCCGATACGATGATCCGAGGGCCAAATCGGCTTGTCATCGTCTTTGACAGCAACGAGCGAGACGGCGATTTGCAGAGCTTGCTGGAACAGCACCGTCAGTGCAACGTTGAGTGGTGACGCAAGGTTCCGACTCTTCACTTCCTCGGATTCGTGGATGCGACGCGCTACGAGCCAAGGGTGCGAAGTGCGATCGAGGAAAACGAAAAAGAACGAGAAGACCCAATAACAGATGATAGGTAAGAAGATGGATAGGGTTTTATCGGTGACGAATGGGAGGAGGGTGGGATTCGGCGAGTAATAAAACGGATATGACAAGGGACCTTCCGGCACCAGGCTGGATAGGATGATCGAATCGGTGGAGTTCATGATTGGGGGGGTTCGCTGGGACGCCAAGGCTCTCGGCACAAAAATATCTTATAACGTGCGGGCGCGCGGTCTTGAGAGACTGACCCCGGCTGGCGATGCAATGGAGGGATGGAGGCTCCGAGCTGAACGCGGCCAGAATTTCAAAGGTAGCACACCTGAGGCAGGATACTATAGCCATTATTGTACCCTATGCAAGGCGTGTTCTGTGGCAGCCCGGGTGGAGTCTTCGAAACGTGTCGTTTCCTGAAAAAGCTTGACCATGAATGGCCAATAGAGTGTGCTGCGGAGAACACGCCGTCGATGAGATTGGCGGCGAGCGCACAGACGTGGCCCGGGCGTACGCATTCCGAGACGGCTCTGAATTTCTACGGTATTGTTTGCGAAAAACAGGCTGTCACATGTCGACCTCGCAGCCTATCATGACATGTCATGATGGCCTGTGTAAGCCAACCTTAACCAACCCATTCATCCTGGCTTCTACGCTTCAACTTCAAGCTTCTCATAGGTTCTCGCTGCGTAGAATCTGTCGTCCGAACGCCTGGCGGCACTGTTGATAAAACCCGCCCGACGTATACATACAGGACAAGATCTAGAGCTTCTATGAAAGCGGTTGCTGTATAGACAGCCTTCAAGCCCTCAGATCTCAGACTTCCGCCGCGCGACCTCAACGTTTCAACTCTCGTCCCTCGCCGTTCAATACAGCGTTCAGCATTACTCGCTTGAACTGTCATTGCGACTCGTGGCACACTAGCTTAGGTCGTGAATTGCTAGCCCCGAGCCGCTACTTATTGGCGCTACCACCTCGGCCCCGACCGGGACCGCGCTTACCACGACTTCCCTCGTTCTATCAAAATCCTGAGCGTGCAATGGTTTTTGCTTGCAAATACGCAGTAAGCAATTTGCCGTTTTTTTTTTCCCCTTTCCTCAGCTTAATCATTAATGAGAACCGCGCAGATTGTGATGCTATCGATGGCAGCAGCAAGTTGGCAGCGAGTCGCTCAACGCATCTTCCACCTTTAGAACTCGAATCAACCCGAACACCTGTCGTCATCCGTTAGGGCGCCATTGCTAAATGCATCGTGCGATAAAAGCCACCTCTTGCGATCAATAGGTCAATAAGTTGCAATGAATTAACTACTTTCCTGGCTACAGGGGGCATCTTCCGGATCCTTGGCGTATGAGAGTTTCGGAGGTGCGATTCACAGTGCCGGTTTTGTACCTTTCACCATCTCGCTTGTGAGTGGATATTAATCGACGGAGAAATACTGCATGAAGCTTCCGGCGATATTCATTCTCTACGTTCCTCGCAATTAATGAAGTCAGGCTATGTTCCCCGTTCTGGCGCTCCGGGATTGAACGCCATAGCTTGGTAGCGCCAGGGAGGAGTCGGTTTCGGGATGGCAGAGGTATGCATGTATACTAATATAACAATGGAAGGTTTCACAGGAGGGAACCGTGACAGCTGCGATGCCGGAGTGGTCTAACGGGTGAGACTTGAATTTATTCGAAATCTCATGTTCTTTGAACGCGCAGGTTCAAATCCTGTTCGCAGCGTTTCGTTTTTGGCGTGCTTTGTTACGCTAAGCGCGATCTTTTTTTCAGCGCTTCGAAGTTCAAATTCACCACTGATCGCTCGTGGCTTGTCCGGACCTCTCATCATACATGAACCCTCAGTCACATTCAACCCCTACACCCTGAAATCACTCGCGCTTCCATGCCTGCGATGTATCCTGTTTGGTTCGTTCAGCCCGCAAAGGACGAGGGCTTGTAGATGTAGAAGCGAGCAAATACGGTCGGGTGGAGGATCGAGTCGACTTGGCACACCCGGCGATTTCGCACGTAGTATGACAGGTCACTTATCCCCCGCCCGACGATACCCATGGAGTCTTGGATGTAAATCGTAGGGTTCGCGGGAATTAACGTACTCAGAATCTCAACATCGCCAACCCCATTTTTATTTCGCCAATCATCGCATGGAGGTACCTCGGGCGCGCCGGTACGCTGTACATGTGGACATTTCCCCATGCAACTACCTCGGATGAACTATCCCCACTCTTCGTGTCCCAGAGAATTTTAATGTGATTCAAGGAACCTGCTATCTTCCGCCGCGCTTCGCTCTGGCACTACATAAGTCAAGGGTATGGTTCTCACTCGAGCTCCTAGGCACCCCGTTTTGAACCTTCACGTTCGAAATGTCTGCATTACATCGCTCGCCCTCCTCATCCTCGCCCGACTCGGAGAAGGAGAAGTTTGACGATGTCCAGCTTGAACATGTGGGCAATGCAACGCCGTCGGGCGCAGTTGTCAAAGAAGTTGTCAATCGTGTGTTTTGATTTCATCAGTCAGAGGTATATGCCTAGCTAACACAGTGTATTGGATAGCTGATTTGGCGGTTGCAACCATGACTGGTGGGCTCAATGCCCGTTCGAAAGAGGCTGTTTTGCTGTATTGCGCTGCATTGGTCTCTTTCCTTTGTTCATGCGGGTGTGTATATTACACTTCCAATCTTATAGTACAGTTTCTTATGATCTGTGGTTTGCAGCAACGGATATGACGGAAGGTTAGCGTCCCTTTTCCTGCAGCCATTCTATCTCATACCAAAACATCGCGTTTGAATGTGCTTTCACAGTTTAATGACGGGTTCGTGTCTCTTGGTTCCTTGGCTTAACTGAACCTGCTTTTACACACTCTTTTTCCACCTCACAAGGTATCAACGGAATGCAACCGTGGGTAGCTTTCCCTCGTCTGATCGATATCATAAAACTTATAATATGTTATTGCGTGTCCAGGTACCGAGATCAGTTTAACAAGGGTAGGCTTGATGAGGATGCCACTTCAGGTTCGAGTCATAGCTAAAATATGACATGTTTAACAGGAAACGCTGCCACGTCGACTGGTATTATCTTCAGTATATGTGAGCCTTGATTCCTTCATGCCACTGTTTATTATTCCTGTACTCAAGCCTTGAACCTAGACACTGTATGCTTTTTTGACGTCGACATCGGTCGAGAGGCAATAACTCAGCTCTCTGGTTCTTAGGTCGGTCAAATGGCTGGCAGTCTTTTCGCAGACAAGATTTCCGATCGCTGGGGGAGGCGCGCGGGCATGTTTGCGGGTTGTTGCATTATTCTATGCGGTACAGCAATCATCTCGACGGCGCACTCCCAAGGTCAATTTATCGGTGGAAGGTTTGTACTGGGTATGGGGATCGCTGTTGCCATTGTTGCTGCCCCAACGTATTGTATCGAAATTTCTCCGCCGCAGGTATGCATTCCGCCTGGCTTTTCCCGCTTGTTCGCTATCTTCTCATTCCTATCACTTTTTACTAGTGGCGTGGAAGGATGACGGCCTTATATAACACGTATGCTGCACGTTTACGCTGAATCTAGACTCTTTACTTAATGGTCACACGTACGCCTTTGCAGCGGTTGGAATGGGTACGCATAAATTCAGCCACTTGATTGGTAAACATTGTTACTCACTCGATATAACCTCTGAAGTGGCGCTATCCCTGCGGCTGGCATCGTCTTTGCAACATCGAATCTTACCACCAATTGGTCTTGGCGTATCCCTCTTATCATCCAGGCAGTACCGGCTTCCTGTGTCATTGCCCTAGTTTGGTTTTGCGTACGTTAGACTCCGAGAATCTCAGCCTTCAGGGCCACAAACTAACATTTTGCGTGCAAAATTAGCCCGAAAGTCCGCGGTATGTCCCCATTATCAGGACAGCGTCCATGAATCTGGCTGAGAACGAGCAATAGATGGCTCTACGCCAATGGTCGGTACGCGGAGGCGGAGGCTTTCTTGGTGAAATACCACGGTACGTCTTGCTTGCAAGCACTCTTCAGCGAAATCATTGCTAACACAATATTGTATAGGTGCCAACGTGGGTGATCTATGGCGTAACTTCTATGTCCACGCGATGCACTAAGAGCTACCAAACCCTCAGAATCCCAACGATCCTCTCGTGAAACTTCAAATGGAGGAGTTCAAAGAAAATATTTCTCAAACAGGCTCAGACAAGGTAGAGTCGCTGTGCCACCAATTATATTTGGAAAGAAGTGTAACATATGATTTATTTTCCAGCGTATCTTTGATTATTCTTCATTGTGCGTTTGGTCCCCCTTGAACGAAACTTAAGTCATTACTCACATAGCTATGGTCATGAATAGGTACAAGACCCATAACGCAAGGTAGGATCTCTAATTCCGTGATATCATGCATTGGGGTGCACCTAAACTCATTAACCGGTGACAGGTGGCGTTCGCTCATGGTGTTCTTGATGGGACTCTTCGGTGAGTCCACTTACGTGCCACCCGACATAACTTGTATGAATCAACTCCTTTTTCATAGGTCAAATGAGCGGCAATGGTCTCGGTTCGTATTTGATCTCGCTGCGTCGCATACAGCCCGTCTGACCTTTCCTCCCCAGGCTACTACAATCTCGATATTTACAAGTCTCTTGGATTTGACAGTGCGTTCAAGATCGAACTTATCGGGGTTACCGGTCTCACCATTAAACTTTCACAGAGCACATGCAATTTTCCATGAACTTGATCAGTACCTGCATGTCGGCAATCGCTGCATGGGTAGCGGTGTCCCTGTCTGGCAAGTTTGCCCACATCTGATTACATGGCCTACATATCTAAATGATCCCGCCTTGTAGACCGCATGCCTCGCCGCAAAGGTATGCTCGTACACCTATACTGGGCTTGGTTGCTTGGATACTTACCGGAAGGCGTCTAGTCCTTGTCATCGGCACCTTTTGTTGCTCGGTACTGCTCGGCATTAATGCAGGTTTAAGCGCCAAGTGGGCAAGCTACGGTACTGGCCCAAAAAATCTGGATGGTAAGCTTGCTCTACAATGTTCTATTTGAAAATGTGCCTGACGCAGCGTGAAAAATAGTCGGAAAGCTAGGTAAGGAGATATTTAAGTATCGAAGGGCGCTCGCATTAACTTTTTCTTTCAGCTGCCGCCTTCTTCTTCCTGTTTAACATTGTCTATGCGTTCACCTACACCCCACTCCGTGAGCAATCGAGACTCCCATCACTGCTCGTTTTTGACCAATTTTACTAATGATTGTGCTTGTCGTTTAGAGTCTCTGTATCCCGCAGAGTGCCTTGAGACCACAGCGAGAGCCAAGGGTAAATCGCGCCGCTAATGATCTATATTCGCTTCGCTGATCTACCCTCTAACCCAGGTATCAGCATGAAAATTCTCGTCATCTCCTGCACCTCTTTCATCAACTTGTTTTGTGAGCACAACTACATCATTTTGATCTCCTAGATGCTAATCACAAGGCTTGGTATAGGTATCCCAATTGGTCTCGCAAACATTCAATGGCGATTTATGGTAGGCACCCTTTGCACAGATGACCATTATTCAAACCAATCGCATGTCTGCACATAGCTTGTTTACGTTTTCTGGGATTTGATTGTGCGTATCATCAACCTTTAGCCAAGCGCGGGGCTGGCCCTGAACCTGGTTTGTGATCGATGATAGGAAACCGTCATCTGGTACTTCTTCTGTGTTGAGACTTTGGTACGTCGATTTGAGATCACAATCTTGCGTACTTATGCTGAACGTGATGATATTTCCTCTTGGACTCTAGGGCCGCACACTCGAGGTAGGCGCCAGTGCATCTGGATTCTGCATAGTCTGCCACAATGCGCTCATCTTTTCTTTAGGAGCTCGACGAGGTTTTCTCTGCGCCATACCCAGTGAAAGCGTCGACGGCAAAGCGAAAGGTATTCATGTTCGAATCTCAATGTCCTGAGGAACTGCGCTGAATGCAAAGGATTACAGGTCGCTATCCCCCTCACAGACGAGGCTTGAACGGGGTATCTCTGAGATACTATCTCACTGTACATACTATACAATCATCCAAAGGGGCTCTTTTATGTACTTTCTGTATCGGCGTGTCGAACTGGTCAAAGAATACGAATCTTTGAAAAATAAAACAGCTGCAGATCATATGTATCTTTGTGCTTGTATGAAATTATTTGTGAGTGTTGGCGATCCAAATTTCGAGGCCGGGTGTAAGCCACATCTGTTCCAAAACTCCGTTATTCCATCCATGTCCCAGTCAGAGCTGCCCAGAAGCGATTTAGGGGTCATTGAAGAGTCAGTTGTTCGCCGTCTTTCCCATCGTATCGTTCTCAAAGTCGTGGTTCAATCAGGTCTGGTATGTCTGATGTGATGACGCCGTCATTGTCGCGTAGCTCGAGTCCTGGCGAATCCCCAACCGCGTTTCGTTATGGTGCACATTGCTACTCCGCGCCTTTCGCATCCTTAGCTCACGCACATTCTTTATACAGAGAATGCTGAGGAGGATGAGGAAGAGGAGTTCGTCTATCCTGGGGACCCGCCCTCCGATGTCGAGGAAGCGCACGAGCCAATATCAATACCCGAGCCATCGCTGCCCCCACAGACCGAGCAAGGTGCGGAGGCACCACCAACTGTGTATCCATCTCCTTCCCAGCTCGAAGCAACCTTCGCCGCTGCATCCTCGGGAAACTTGGAACAGCTGCAGAGACTATTCCAGTCTGCTCTA